CGAACCTGGGCCGCCAGCAGCGGAGCGCATACACTTAACCGCTAAGCCACGGGGCCAGCCCTGAAGCTTGTTTAAACTTCCCTTTCTATAGGCTCCAAGTCTCTGACGGCTTAGACTGTGTCTTCTCACCTCTTGATGTGCCTTCAGGTGGCACTTTGTACATAGTTGGCCCTCAGTCATGCCTTAAGAGATATGACAATAGCTCAGTCATCTGGTCATGAAAATAGACCTCTGCAGATTAGCTGAATTCTGGTTCCAAACTATTGTGAAATAAGTTAAAAAATGATTCTGTAATACAAAAAGATTGTAGTTCAGATTGCATTATTGAGATTTTTTATGAATATTTCAGTCTAATATTTATGAACTAGACAACGTTGTAGTTCAGATTGAGTTCCTGAGATTTTTTGATTAATCAGTCTTTAAATGATTCTATCCTATCTGTTTCCTCCTCCATTTCTTTGAGGTAGTTTTTGACCTCAGCTGACTTGGTAGTGTTGTGTGTGCAGAGTTTGCCCTTTGGAAGTGAAAGTAATTCTTGCAGTTCTTATCAATTGACAAACATTGGTACTGGGTTTTACCTCATGGCTTAAACCTTTATATGTGCATTAATCAACTGGGTATCTTGTAAGAAAGCAGAGCCCTGGGCTCCAACCCCATAGATTCCGATTTAGTAGGTCGTGGGTGCAGCCCAAGGAATCTGCAGTTTTTAATAATATTTGAGCCAATTCTAAAGCAAATGCAACTGATCATCCTGAGAAATACTGATTTAATCGAGACTGCATGGATTATTAGCCTAGATTAGCATGAGTCTGTTGTACCTTTTAAATAAACATGGAGTCTTTTTAATATTAATTTGTAAAATTGAACATACTATTTAGACAAGAGCAAGATTTAAAAGACTACAAACACCAAGTACCTTCTGATATCTTCCTATTAATCTACACCCACCAAGATGCCATCCTGTGCAGGCAGTCCTGTTGCAAGACCATAGTGCCACCTTTTCAGCGACTAGAACCTGTGAGCACGTAACCACAGAGTATTGATTAGAGCCTGGTACAAGATAATCCTCTGAGGAAGAAGTTTGAGTCCTGCGGGATCACAGATTACTGGTAAAAGATCGTGTACATGTAGCTCCAGGACTCGAGTATGAATATTACTATCAAAATGTTAACTATATTTCTATAAACAACTTTCCCCATTTATTTTATTTAAAAGTATTCTAGAAAATTCTTAATCCAGCTAAGTGATTCTGTAACCTTGTATCTATTCAATGTCCTATAGGTGCACTTTTAATCTTCTCAGGGACTGGGCCCCTTTTATTTATTTATTTTTTATTATCCTTCATATGTATATATATTTTTGTGTGTGTGTGTGAGGAAGACTGGCTCTGAGCTAACATCCATTGCCAATCCTCTCCTTTTTGCTGATGAAGATTAACTGTGAGCTAACATCTGTGCCCATCTTCCTCTATTTTGTATGTAGGGCACCGTCATAGCATAGCTTAATGAGTGGTCCGTAGGTCTACGCCCGGGATCAGAACCTGTGAACCCCGGGCCGCCAAAGTGGAGCGTGTGAACTTAACCACTACACCACCAGGCCGGCCCCTGGGCCCCTTTTAGAGTATGGGTTTTTAGCATTGCTTAACTATTCCTGTGTAGCCACAATGACTTCCCCAGGGAGTGGCCATGCCACTAGTTTGGCATTTCCGTTCTGTTGCCCTCACACAGGTGGGGAGCCTAGGAGTGAGGGAACCAGAAGATCTTGGTGATGCCATGTGTGTCTGCGTGGTGAATGGTGTGCTGGTGCAGTGTGGGGATGACTGTGGCCTTCCAGGTCTGACTGCCTGTGGTGGAATCGCTGCTTTTAACATTTATGCTTGTGTGGCCTTGGGCCAGTTATTGAACCCGTAAGCCTCAGTTTCCTCCTGTGAAAGCAGGAATCGTTGTAGACTCATGGAATCATTGGAAAGATTGAGATAATGAATCTAGAGTGCTTAGGATGGCCCTGCCTATGTGCAGTGCCTGGCACATAGAAAGCATTCTGTAGATGTCAGTTACTATTATTATTCATCAGATAGTCTTTTCCTTCCTTAACACTCTGTCCTTTGAGGTCTTAATGTTCACTGTCCATGGATCTGTTTAGGTTTCTAGTATCTTAAAACGTATTTCTAATTCTTAAAGGGACCAGATCCTTTTTTCAAGAGAACCCTTTTTAACAAGGGACATATATGTCCCAATCAAAGACATTGTGGCTTCTGTGGAACTATAACATAATAATGGAATTATGGCTTTGTCTTTAGAATTGTGTAGTAAGCAATAAACTCTAAAGAAAAAGATGGCCTCTTCCTCCTTTCCAGATAAATCTTATCTGAAGTTCTTAATTTCTTTCCATCAGTCTTGTTTTATGAGGGAAATGGTCACACTTGGGATTTCTGAATCATCTTTTCAGTGTAAGCAAGTTTTCCTTAATTTCTTCCAGCTTGAGCACTCACTTGTGTAAGACTGTAATCACCAAATTTTCGCCAGAGAGAGAGGTCAGGCTTGTTAATTATGTGGGGTCCCCTGGTGATGGGAACTGAGAGTAACGGGTGGGTGGAGTGTCATCTCCCTGTCCCCCACCCTCTGCTGCCAGCCCTCCCTAGCGTTTGCACCAGCTCACACATGGTTTCTGACTGCTGTATGACCAGATAGAAGGCATCTTTTAACATTAATGTGCCGTGGTAAAGAAATACTATTTTAAAGTATGTGTTTGCTTATCGGTGTGGATATATTCACAACTGTAGAATAAAATGAGAAGAAATTTAACATATGAAAATGCATCATGGCACAGTCCTAGAAAGAAGGCCACACAGTTGGAAATTTACAAGTCATAGAGCGTGTGGTGTCTTCTTTCCCCTAGATTATCATTCTGATAAGACAGATATTTACCTGAAAATTGATCACTGCTGTGCTGCCTTGAATAAGTGTGTGTTCGTGAAGAGAGCCCAGAACTGCAAGTTAGTGCTGGTAGCTTTTAAAAAGTTTAACTTTCCTTGTTTTGCTTAGTTTCTGGTATTAGTAGTGAGGACTTGAAGCAACAATTTGTATTTTTCACTTCCTTTCTCAAAGATGCAGCATATGGTACAGTTTTAATCAGCCTCAGATGGCAGCTGTTGAAGAACGCCAGTGTGGTTGTTGAGGGCAGAGAACTGGATGGTTGTCATGATCCTAATATTTCACTGTTTGGCGTGTACGGACTGCTTGGCCCCGTATTAAGTATTGTTCCTATATTATCTTATGTGAAACCCCCAACAACCCTTTGAAGGAATGCTACAGAGAGGGCCAAGTTTCAACAGCTAGTTTGAGGGGTCTGCATTTGAATCCAGGCCTCCTGCTCCAGACGCCTCCTAACCCAAGCCCTCGGTTTTGCATGCCCACTCCTTCAAGTCGGTCAAATCTGTGCAAAGAACTCCAAGTGGAAAGTTCTCCTACATTGGAATGAAGACTCTTACTGTGATGAAACATTACATCGTAGGCCTGACGTCCCTCGCCCTTGACCTTCTGTTTTCCTTGATGCAAAAAAGTCTAGGTCTAAGGGAGCAGATGATAAAAAGAGGACGTATAAAAATAGCTGAATACCTATTTTCTAGAAAATGGCCTAGTTTGAAGTGTTACTGGGAACACTTCTCTCTTATTTTTTACTTTTCTTTTAGGACCATTTTTCTATTTCTCCACCTCTGGCCTTTCTGCTTGTTTCCCTGCTAGCATTTTCCATCTTCACTGGCTCTCAAATGAAGTATTCCCAGACCTGACTTTGTTCAGTTTTACAGTTCAATCAGTAGTTCAGCCATGCTGGGTTGTAGCAATGCAGTGCAGGGAATTACTTGTTTCATTTATAATTAATACTGGATTGTGCTGTTTGAGGGGACAATGTTTTGTTTCCTTTTCAGCTAAGGGGATAAGGATATTCCCATTTAGTGTGGGAAATCTCTTTTTTTCTTTCTCTCTTGTTCTCTCATAATCATTATGAATGTTATAAATGACAGAATGACAGAAAAGGATAATATGGATACTATTAGAATACGTATCTTGAAGGATAAGCTGTAAAATAAGTACAAAGTAATACTTCAGACATTTCTATCGACTTCTTGCTATTTCTCCATATTTCTGCAGGTTGGTTTCATCTCTGTTTTTGTTTAGCGTTTATAGGCAAACACAATTGGCGGACCAGAAAATGTTTTGTTTCTTAACCTAGTGTAGGTTGTCCTGCATGGTGTGTATGTTTCAACATACACAGGCAGCTCTAGAATTTTAGTCCTGTCCTGGGGTATCCCAGTCTTCAAAACAGGAAAATAAAAGGGTACATAACTGTCACTTAGATGAGACACTTGTACAAAAAACCCTTTGGAAAGTAGAAAACTATTTTACACATTTGTAATGTAAATGTAGCCATTGCCAAGGGGCAGTTGTTAGAAGAACTTAGAAATACAATACAGGGCCCTCAAGGTACAATGAAGACCTGAGACTGAGTGTTTCGTCAGGAAAATCGGTGTGCTCAATAGAGACCCAGAGTTAACTCTCTTTGGTGTGGCTTGGGAAAGATACCTTGCCTGATACCTGTAAGGCTCCTGGTGACTGAGTGTGTTCACCTGCTGCTCATTACTTGACAGAATGTGGCTGAAGAAGTTAACACGTTCCGGAGAAGTGTTAGTGACTCAGAGGGAGAATGCCCACCGTCACCAAAATAGAGTGATACCCTTAGTCTACTGTGGTTCTCAAATTCTATTCTTTCTTGACTTATAAAACCTTTATAATGAGGTCCATTTGAAATTGGAGTACTTAAATTTCTTTAGACTGAATTCGAGAAGAGATATATAATGGGGGAAGGAATGCGGTGGGATGGGGTGGGACGAGGTGGGGGCGGCTTACAATTCCTCTGTGTTTTTAAATATTCAGGCAGATTAATATGTGATCTGATGTTTACCTTCTGTAAAGCTTTACCTTTTTTGTTTTCTCTTGCAGGAGTGACTTTATTTGAAGAGTTCTAAGAGACTGAAAACTTGAGAGATATGAAGTTGCCTAGGGAATATTTTTTTTGTCTTTTATAGTTTCTATCGTGGAGTCTGCAGGCATGTGGATAAAAGCTAAAAGGGAGTATTGTTGCCAGGCTGGATATGGAATTCAGTTTGCTTTGAAACAAGTTTTGGTTGAAAGAGTCTGGTGAAAAATTAATCACATTTCCAGGGAAGAAGAGAGTTCATTTTTTTATCTTCCCAGCCACCACGCCTTCCAGTCCCCACCCCACCAGCCTTGGTGAACACACTGCGGTTTTTCCAGTATGATCAGCATGTACAGTGGAACTATTCCTATACAGTCTGAGCTGTTCTCGAGGGTGTGTGCGCGCGTGCCTACGTGTATGCGCACGTGCGTCTGTTCCCCCACCCTTACATTCCATTGCTACTGATTGTCAGAAGATCCTATTACACTTTAACTGTTACAAAGGATAAAAGATGAATCTTTGGTTGTGAAAGCTCCTTGAAGATAATCTAGTCTAGCCCTGAGAAACTCATCCTCCCAGAGAACATGGAGTCAGATGGAACTAGATTCTAGACTTTAGATGCTGACCAAGAATTCAGCATTGACTTCTGCTACCACCATGCCACTCCTAGGTCACTTATAAAATACTAAGAGTTTTTTTCCTTAACTTGAGGTAAGCAATTCTTATTTAGTCCATTGAATAAAGAGGAAAAATGGTTTAAAGTCACTAAAAAAAAAAAAAACAAACAACCAAAAAACTTGTTTTGACAACCCAAGGCCAAAACAAAACCAAAAAACCCCATTTCTGCTGCAAGATGGGCCTGCGCCATCCTCTGGCCTGTTTTCCTAGGTGCACTTCCTGTTTTGTGTCTTGTAACTAAGGTAACGAAAAGATTCTTAGTGGTTACTTGACCGTGTAGGCCTGGAAAAATCTTTTTTTTTTTTGAATCTTTACAAAACACCTGAAAGAACCGAGAGGCAAAGATAGTAGTACATGTATGGTGGGTCTGGGCTGAGGGGTGGGGGAGGCCAGTTTCAGGGAAGTCTTCTGCCTCCATGTCAGTGTTGGTGTGGTGTCTTGGGCACTCTTTTATTTCACAGATAAAAAAGTACATTTCTCATTTGACTCCCCAAAGATGATTCCCATAAAAATTGTACTTTAAAATATTTACTGGCATCAAACTAAAAATGTCTAACCTTTTAAATGAGTGGTAGTTTCAATTTCATGTGAATTTTTACTGACAACTAATGAAAAGGTGTATGTGTGTGCATATATACACACAGTAGACTAGAGGAAGTCAGTATGGAAATAAATTTCCCTGATGTCCATGAAACAGCAATATAGGAATTTTTGGGATGTGTATTAGTGTAAATAATATATGTGCGGTCTAGACCAATAGTTTTAGTTAAAAACCAAAAAAAAGCATCATTTTTTGCTTTAAAATTACTATGCCCTCAAAACGGTGAGGGATTAAATGTAAGATATTCTTCAGCTTTAATTATTTTTTAATTTTATTCAGGTCAGCACTTTTTTTAATAGCAATACAACAGGCAAGAGAATACTCAAAAATATTTAAAATTGTATTTATACCAAGAGTACGTTTTAAATATTTTCTAATACTTGAGCAGTTTTTGTCTGGCTGGCTTCCAAATATGCCAAAAGTTGTCTTCAATATTTTCAACACGTGAGCTTTGTACTGGTTTATATTGTCTAATGAGAATTCTTAAGTGTTCCCAAAGTACCTGATGTTTACAGGTCTTGTGTTTTTCCTCCTTCTTTGGAAGGATTGGGGATCCACAACAAACTTACTATACAAAACACTAATGAGGGACTAACTTCTGGTGTAATCAATGAGTTGGCTACCCCCTTGATGTAAAAATTTATAAAGTACATTTTTCACCATTTTGAGTGTCAAATGTGTTTTTAACTGTCTGATTTGTACTTTTACGACTTTTGTACTACCAAAGCAGAGTTAAAAATAAAAACGTTAAACACTGTGTTGTTTTTGAGTGATCCAATTGTTCGTGCTTTGTGTACTGAAAATACGATTGTGGTCGTATAATTTATTAAGCTTACTGTTACAGTGCCTAATTTCTTAGAAGAGTTGCAAAAGCAGTACAGAGAGTTCTTGTGTGTCCTTCACCCCATTGCCCCTTATGTTAGCATCTTACATAACCTCAGAACAATGACCAAGCTGAGAGGGTAACATTGGTACAATACTACTAATTAAGCCACAACTTTATTTGGGTCTCACCCGTTGTCCCACTGATGTCCTTTTTCTGTTCCAGGATCTCCCATTGCATTTAGTTATTGGGTCTCCTTTGTCTCCTCTGATCTGTGATTGTCCCTCAGTCTTTTTTTGATGGTCTTGACATTTTTCATGGTCTTGACATTTTATAGTGGACTGATCAGTTATTTTGTAGAATGGCCTTCAACTTAAGTTTTCCAGCTGCTTCTCCTGATTAGACTGAGGTTTTGCATTATGAAAAGGATGCATAGAGGTGACCTCTCCTTTATATCAGGGAACGTGATATTAATATGTGTTACTAGTGACGTCAGCCTGGATCGTTTAGTTAAGATGGTGGCCACCAGGTTTCACTTTGGTAAAGTCACTATTTTTCCTTTTGTAATTAGGTATTTGAGGGGAGATACTTGGAGATTCGGCAAACACCCTATTTCCGCTTAAACTTTCACCCATTAATTTTATCTTCTATTTCTTAAGGCTTTCGTAACAAATTGCCACAAACTGGGTGGCTTAAAACAACAGAAATTTATTCTTTCATGGTTTAGGAGGCCAGACGTCTGAAGTCAAGGTGTGTACAGGGTTGGTTCCTTCTGAAGTCCCCAAGGGAGAATCTGTCTCATGCCTCTCTCCTAGCTTCTGGTGGCTGCTGGCTATTCTTGGCATTCTTTGCTTTGGAGCTGCCTCACTCCAGTCTCTACCTCTGTGTTCACGTGGCCTTCTTTCCTGTGTGTGTGCCCCTGTCTGCTCCTCTTCTCATGAGGACACCAGTCATTGGATTTAGAGCCCACCCTAATCCAGTATGACCTCATCTTAACTTGATTACATGTCCAAAGACCCTGTTTCCAAATAAGGTCACATTCACAGGAACCAGGAGTTAGGACTTCAACGTATCTTTTTAGGGGACACAGTTCAACCCACTACACCATCCATTGGTGGGTCTTGCCTGTAGCAGATGCTGCTGTGCTAGGGGTTCTTTCAGGCTGGTGCCTGTGTCCTTTTGATATGGCTCGATTCTCTTTATTTCTTCCTCTTTCCTTCCTTCTTCCCTCCCTCCTTGCCTTCCTCTTTCTTTTGCCCTTTCTTAACTTGGTGGAACCACAAGATGCTCCAGGCTCATCTTGTATTTTTCTTCCTCAGCCCTGGAAATCAACCATTAATCAAGGAGCCCTTGTTCCTTTTATTGGAGAATTGTGTTTAGAAATAAAGATCAGGGCACTAGGTATGCTCATTGATACTGGGGTGTCGCTGCTTCTAGGCTTCTATGTGTATAGTCATGCATCGCTTAACAACGGGGATATGTTCTGAGAAATGCGTCAGGTGATTTCGTCATTGTGTGAACATCACAGAATGTGCTTACGCAAACCTAGATGGTACAGCCTACTACACACCTAGGCTATATGGTATTAATCTTATGGGACCACCATTGTATATGCAGCCCATCATTAACTGAAACGTCGTTATGTGGTACATGACTATATATACACATATATACATACATATATAAACACACACTACTAACCCCTGGTATACCCACATTTTTATTTGTTTCTGTATCTATCTTTAAAACAACAGTGTGAGTTGGGACTGATACCGCTGACTCCACAAGGCTCATTTCTAATGATCCTGCTTTCCTTGTTTGTAACCGTTTTCTCCTATGGTGAGTAAACTTGGATATTATCTGTAATATTTTTACATATTTGTTCAACCCTAGCACGCATATAAAGTAGTTTGAATAGATACGCCTGTGAGAAACAGATTTCTCATCTAGAGCACAGTGTCCACATGCAGTTCTTTTCGCTTTTAGCCTTACTGTATCCGGTCAAAACCCAGTTGCCAAAGTTACTTAGGTCAGCTCTTTCGTTCCCCTTCCCTTCAGCGTGGTTATGTGACCCAGGGTCAACACAGAGTTGTTTGTCATCGTCTGCATTCCGTCTTTCCTTCATTTCCCGGTTAAAAGGTTTATACAGCAAACTTCACTCTTTGTGGTGCATTAGATTTTGATTTGGAATTTCTCTGGTTTTTTTTTTTGCCTTGAAAACAAGATGATTGATAACAGCTATGCTAAGGAAGTAGAAAAGGTGATTTTATAATTTTCAGCTCATAAAACCAAGCAACTCAAAATGTATGTACCAGGGAGGATGTTAGAAATTCCCCCACATCCCGTATTTTATAATTGAAAGGGGCCTCTTGGGGTGACAGATTTTGTTCTTCATTAACTAACTCTTAGATATCCTCTCTAGTACAGATGTAATGCAGAGTGGGTGGGGCTGAGTGACTGCTGTCATGTCTTTCTCAGCTTGTTAGGGAGGCAGTGAGCATTTGGACAAGAGGCGCCTACGCCCATTCAGTTCTACGAGGAGACAGAAGGCCAGCCTTGCACCGCCAGCCTGAACAGGTAGTTCAGCTCTTTCCTGACACCGGCAGGTCCTGGGTGGATTTGCCAGGGGGACTGTCCATGGCCTTCTATGCACCAGCACGTCCTTCTCAAATCCATCTTGATGTCTAGGCTTCCTCCCCGCTAACCTGATAAAGCAGAAAGGTGAGGAACCTTCCTTTTCCTCTCATTGAGGTCAGCAGAATGGTGGGCGCTTGGAAGTGAGGACCTACGATTCAGTGCTGGTCACTGAGGGCTTGGCTTGGTCAAAGGGGACTGTATTTTGTATTTGAGGTCCTTGACGGCTCTTGGATCTTCTGACCCTTTTGTCTGTGGGGCAGGTCCGTTCTACCCGGGGCTTCCTTTGTTCCTTCCTTATTTTCCCAGGACTGTTCTTCAGGACTATTCTAGATCTCCCTCATTGTAGCTCCAAACGCCTGAACGTCGCCTGAGACTTCTTTGTCTCTGTCATTCTGTGGCCACCCAGCTGGTGTCGCTGCCCGCCCAGTTCAGCGGGCCTCCAGCCCTGCCGGTCTTCTGCCTTGCACAGAGCTGGCACTTGTCCCCTCTGCTGGCCAAATGTGAGAACTGCAGGGAGCACAGCTTCGTGGACGCTTGGTGATGGTGCTGCTGCATCTTCTTGCAGGGCCTGGTGCAGAGCAAGCACTCGTGATTATTTGCTGACTGAATAAATAAACAAAAGTCTACCCCTAAAAATGAAAGAATATTATTAGCTATCTTATGAGAGTAAAAATTCAAGTTTGGGTTTTTCCTAACCCATTTTCCGACCGTGCCAGTTTGTTTTTATCATCTTTCTCATCAGAAACTCCAGTTTCTTATCTGAGAGCTTGTGTCCCTGGTGCTGGTAGGAATGACTGAGTTCCATTTTGGAGGAAACTCCATGCCCTGAATCTTGTCAAGGAAGTGGTGTGACTGTGAGAAGCAGTGTGGTCTTGGAGAAGTAGCCGGCCTTTGCCGTTGAGTTTGAATCCCGGCTCTGCCACTCACTGCTGTGTGATGTTGGGAAAATTACCTTACCTTTCTGAGCCACAATTTCCTCATCTGTAAAATGACCTATCTCACAGGGTTTTTAAGGATTAGAAAAATGCAGGCAAAGTCGCGGTGGCTGCCATGGTCTCCATGGCCACCTCGACAGGGCGCTGCCATTGCAAGCGGCCATGCTTGCTAACTCGGTAAGGGTCTGTGTGTGTCTGTCCGCCCACAGCTCATCAACATGGCCTGTGAAGTGGCCCAGCACACACAGCTTGTCCAAGAGTGGAGCTGAGCCAGTAAGTTTCTGGCTTACTGAAGTAAGCCACGGAGTAGAGGAGGGTCCACGTTTTGAGGAGACAGAAAAAAGATCTGAGGATGAAGAGGCAGCTTGTGCAGGGGGCAGGTGGAACTCCACCGGCCCAGCGCCTCTCCCTTCTGGGACTGATGCCCCCTGCTTTGGAGACCTCTTCACCTCCCTCTTAGGACCCAGCCGTGTGCCCTGCTCCTGTGACCGCAGCTGGACACGAGCGAGGTGTGCACATGACCCATCTGTGACCTGGCTCAGTAGAGCCCCTCCCTGAAATGCTGGCTAACCGGGGCTGGAGAAAGGGCTTTATTTCTCCAGGGGCCAAAGCTGTAGGTTGAGGGGCTGGCAGAGGCCACGTTTCTTGCTGTGTGGAGAAGCTGGTCTGAGGAAAAGAAGGGAACGTGCAGAGGGAAGAGGTTGCTTTCGAGGCGCAGGCTCAGTGCCCTTCTGAGTTTTATGAACATTCCAAGAACATTCCTCTTTTGTCTTACCTAGTTTGGGTTGAGTTTCTAGCAATCATTTGCAACAACAATAAAACAACAACAACAAAACTCCCTGACCAATGCAATTATTCACAGAAAAGTAGACATGAGGAGTTACAGAGCCACATGGGCAGTGAGGTCCTGGAATCGAGCCAGGCCCGAGATTGCTGAGATTGATGAAGCTGCCTCGAATCCGGAGCCAGGGGGCCTGGCCACCGTGTGGTTTCTGTTCTGAAATGCTCTTGCAAACCCTCTCCCCTTTATTGCCCTAGAATAACCTCCCTTCCACTGTCTTTCCTTAGTTTGCCTTGGGGCTCATGATTATAGCTTCCATAAGGCACAGATGTGGCCTTCGGATGCCTTGGGCCAGCTGTGACCTTGAGTTCTTTGGGCTGCAATCTTCTGACTACGGAGTGAAGGTAATAGGTGACTTTTAGGGAGCTTGCCTCCTTAGCACAGGGCCGGTCAAGTCAGCGCTCACTCAGTGAGCTGCCAAGTTCAGCCTCTCTTTAGAGAAATAAACCATAGAATGATGAGAATTTGGCCATTTGAGAGCTGGTTCTTGATGTTTCCGCCACAGTCACATTGCCTAACATTTGAGGATGGACCAGGGGCTGGGAGGCAGGTCAGGAGAGTAGAAGGACCAGGGTAGAAGCAGGGCCTGAGATTCTCCAGGCACCAGGCCAAATACTGTAAGTGAGAGGAGTTCCCCACCCAGAAGTTGAGTGGACCCAGATCTACAAGATAAGGGGCATGCTCTTTCTGTTAGTACAGGCTGTCATTTATCTTATCACTCTTTATGATAAGACATGAATGCAGTATAGCCATCTCAGTGAGTTTAAAAATAACTTAATTCCGTTTTATTTGCAAGTTAATCTAGCTGAGAAATTGGAGATAAAATGTTCTTGAAATCATATTATCCAAATTGCAAAATTAATGGGTTTACTTACTATGAATGGCCAAACAACGCCTCTAAAATAACCAACCAACCCTATCAATCCTCTCAAAGTTTCTGTCTTGTATTAAAAATGCATTTTATTTTTGGGGCCGGCCCAGTGGCACAAGTGGTTAAGTGCGCGCACTCTGCTGCGGCGGCCCGGGGTTCGCTGGTTTGGATCCCGGGCGCGCACCGACGCACTGCTTGGCAAGCCTTGCTGTGGCGGCGTCCCATAAAAAGTAGAGGAAGATGGGCACGGATGTTAGCCCAGGGCCAGTCTTCCTCAGAAAAAAAAAAAATGCATTTTATTTTATAAAAACTTATTTAGGGCAAGGATAAAATAGGTCAATTTTAATGCCTAAAATATCACTTCAAATGCAGTGTGACTTAAAATTGTAACTAAGCATAATTTGTGTCCTACCATGTTTAAATGATGAAAACAATGAGAAAAATAATAATGAGAATAAAAAAATACTAAATTTGAAGTGCCTCCAAGATGTATTTTTGCCTTGAGAAGATTGTTAATGATGTAGATAGAAAAGGACTTAACTAGTTTCGAAGTTGTTTAATATTATTAGAAGTGGTTCAGAGAGCTTTGGGGGTCATAGCAGTCAGAATTTATTTATAAAAAAAGTATTGAGCACTACTCATAAAAAGTGGTCCAGTATGAGATGACCTTCACCAGGTAATAAAATCCCATCTAATATTATTATTTTATCTCGTGCTGGGTATATGCTAAGCACTTTCTACTCTCTATCTCATGTAAGTCTCATTACAGCTTGGAGGGAGGCTTAGCCATCACAGAAGCCATCACTTCTGCTTTACAGGTGACAAAACTGAAGAAAGGGATCTCAGGATACATTGTACTGGCTCTTCATGTGGCAGGCAGGTATGGCCCACGGGTCCACTTTGCGCTTTGTAGGATAAGAAATTCGTGGTCCTATGATCACTGTAAAAACCCAAGTATCATTGGTAGTAGACAGTTCCAGAGATTTTCTATAAAATAAGATTTTATTAAAATCTTTCTCAGAACCCGAAAAGAACTTTCTTTCCCAATTAACCATACATATAACTTTACTTTTCCAAAATTGAATTGTCTCTATCTCCACCACCTTGTTTTAAAGTTGCCTCACTGTTCAATCATCTCAGAATTCACTTTATTGTCGTGATTGTTGCATTCCCTGAAACAGTGGAAACCAAAGACTTTCTTTTCTTTGAAATTTCACGTTTTGATTCAGCCCTTCTTTTTGTCTGATGGCAACGTGGCTGTCTCCACAGAGAGGCTGTACTATGTATTTCTTGTTCAATCTGGCTTCAGTTGAGATTCTGCCACTGACTGGTTACATGACTGTGGATGAGTTAGCTTTTTGAGCCTCCATTTTTCCAACTGTGAAATGGGGAGAATCATACCTACAACTCATGGGGTCATGGTCGACTCAAGTGAGTGATGCATATGCAGAACTTAGACTGTACTCAATGCTTAACGAATCGTAGTTTAAAAGAGTTAAGCTATATTTGCACCTATAAAAAACCAAAAACCATAACTTTATGGCTGCCAGAAATTAGTACTGAATAAGATTTCTATATCAATAATTGTATTTGGCAAATTATTCTGAAATAATGTCTTTGCAGATGTTTTTCTTGTTATGAATTTTTTTCTCTATGAACTTTTAATTTAAATACTGTAACAGTTCCTGGTTAGTCTCCTGGCTAATGGCTGATGTCATGAAAATCTTAGAGCCTATGATCTTATGGCTTCATAAATGGGTAATTTAAAACTTTTGATTCCTTTCTAAGCATCAACATTAGTTAATGAGAAGGGCATATTAGTTAATGAGAAGAGACCCTCAGCCCTCCTTGGCCTGTGAAATCTTCCTTGTTTATATGAGCATACCAAGATTTACATGCGCCATTCTCCACAGCTTTAGGACTATTTTGGAGAATGGAAAAGGAGGACTAGGACCTGGAAATGAAATTTTTTGTGAGATTTTTTTTTTTAAGGTTGGTAACTGATGTCAAGAGAAAATTTTATGGTTTTGCTTTCAAAATAGCAAGATCTCGATTAAACAAATGTTCTAATCAGCCTGTCTCAACTGTCTCCCTCATGTTAGTCTGGAATGTGTGGTTTTGATAAGAGAGATGAGTGAAATTCTTTGTCTACCTTCTAATCTCTAGGTCTATTTTACCCTAGTTTTATATTAACTATTCCAAAATGCCTAAGAGCAGAAAATACAGAAGTCTCCTAAAAATCAGGCTCCAAGGGGCAGATGAGTGGTATCAGGTGTGCATTTTCATGTTCCCTCATATTCTAAGTGTATGGCTCACACACATATGAATGCTGGATATGTTGTAAAACATATTAATATTGTCTATTTACAAAGAGCTCTTATAGATAGTTCATTTGAGCTTCTAAATCAGTGGTTTTCAAAGTAGGTTTCACATAACCCAGAGGTGTGGGAAGAAAATATTAAAACTCTGATTGATATTTGTAATCTCATCTTAATATTTTCTATCAAGTATATGACAGTACAAGAGGACAGTACATTTAGTTGTAAAAATGCTTCTATTAGGGAGAGGAGTGCAAAATTTTGTATTGATAACTCGTGCAAGATCAAAACGATGTGTTGATTCCTACTAGAATCTTAGTGTTTCTCCAAGTATGCCTGGAGAATTACCCACATCAATATGCAGATGCCAGGACCTCACCCAGGACCTACAGAATCCGAATCTCTGAGAGGTGAGGCCAGAGAACTGATTTTTTATAAATAAGCACAGTGAAATTTGAGAACATCAGCTTTCAACTTTGGGAGGTAGGAATGATCCCCATTTTACAGATGAGCAAACTAAGGCTCAGCAAAGTCAAGAAACTAAACCCAAGGCTATATAGCCAGCAAGAGGCACAGGCTGATTCCCTCCAGGTTTATGGGATTAAAGAGGCGCATGTGTGTAAAGTGCCCGGCGCGTTCCGTGTGGTCTGAACCTCTGAAGACCTGGAGGTCATGACACATGGCTGCAGGTACCACTATAAAGGCAATCCTCATGCACTATTTACATCACTAGGAGCCAAGAGAACACTGACATCCGAGTCTCATTACACAAATACACATCCTTCCTTCTCTCCCAGGACTTGAAAGATTGAATTCAAGATTACTAAAAAATGTGGTCAGCCAAGTTCCCCACTGCTTGGCCTCAAACATTGGTTTTCTTATGGTTTTTGTCTCAATTTGGGATTAAGGTCCTCAGGGTAACGTGGCCTCATTATAGAGACCAAACCTTCACCAGCTGCTCACATTCTATTCTGTTCACCTTTCCACAGACCACCGAAAGCCTCATTGTTCAAACAGAGCGGGGCCGTCTTGAGTGAAGAGCAGGAAAAATAAATAATTTTTTTTCTCTCAAATTCACATAGACTTGTACCTCCACAGCCCTATATTTATACCTTTATTCCAACACAATCTCATAATTAGCATTCAGAACCTTAGTTAGCTGCACAATGTCTCCTCAACTATACTGTGAAAAGCTTTTATCCTTTAACAAATAATGTAGAGTTCCCCCCTTGTGCCCTATACTATCCTAGACCTGGGCAAAAGGCACTTGTTATTATAGTCGCTTTAGTTGTGAAAAAAAATTGCTAATAGTTGACTCCCAGTGACTGACTTCAATGTGCAGGTAAGAATCATCTGTAATCAGCCTATTTAGTAGGTTTGCCTAAAATGTTGTTTCTTAAAGTGGCTGAGGGTGCTTCAAAAGTCAGACTGTTTAGATATGTCACCTATAACCTGATACATTGGAGAAACTTACAAAGGTAGTAAATAAATGAGCAACATATTTTTTCCATAAATTAACAGGGAAAGCGTCTACCATAAAAAACAAAGGTCAGCTTATCTCTGTTTAATTATCCCCAGTTCCAAAATAGAGGATTTTAAAATGAATGAGGTTTAATCTAGAGGAAAAAAAAATAAACAGAATTTCCATATTTTCACCATACAGACTCATGCAAATAGGAGTCCCCCTGGTAAAGAACAAAGTCCAAATCCAAGACGGGAGGTCTCATTCCTGTATCTGCACACAGATGATACAACTAAAGAAGTCAGCAGATCGTTGCTCACATACTTGCATTTGGTGTCTCCTTCATTCTTCTTAGGGCCTCCCGCTTGGAGATACTGATGGGAGAGTTAGGAAGAGAACAGAGAATCTTACCTTTTGGGTCAGAGGCAGAGGGAGGTAGAAAGAGGGACATGGCAAAAAGCCAACTGTTGAGTATGGACAAATGGGCGTGTGCTAAGAAACCTCAAATTCTCTTGATTCTTTTGGGCATCTGGTTCGACAGTTATAACAATTTGCTACTACCTGCCTTGGAAACCAGGGAAAAACACTTAATTTCATATTTATATGTGAGTTCAACTGCCCCCAGTAAAAAGTGAAATGTAACTTCATTTCACAGAGCTCAAGAAACCTCCATGTAATATAGAAATAATCTTAAATCAAAATTAAGATTTAACATGGTAGATATCCACATGACGCAATTTGCTAAGATTGTGCACTGTAACGTCCACTCCTGATCACAGCCAGGGCCTTAATTCAGAGTGCGTCTGCGCTGTCAAATTGTCCAGAATGTTTGAAAAGGCTCACTACTGGCAGCATCACTCTTTTTTTTTTTTTTTTTTTGTCAGGAAGATCAGCCCTGAGCTGACATCCACGCCAATCCTCCTCTTTTTGCTGAGGAAGACCGGCTCCGAGCTAACATCCATGCCAACCCTCCTCCACTTTATGTGGGACGCTGCCACAGCATGGCCTGACAAGCAGTGCGTCAGTACGCGCCTGGGATCTGAGCCGGGGGCCGCCAGCAGCGGAGCTCAGGCACTTAACCACTATGCCACGGGGCCGGCCCCTACTCTTCTGATAAGGGGTGGCACCAGGCTGCAGAGAGAAGACACTATATATAGAGTAGGATGCTCAGACAGCTGCTAGACAACCTGGTGGATAAAGCTAAAACCCGCAGTTTCTTTTTAACCTGAACATTCTGACTTTCCTCCGATGTCCTTTGGTGGACCCTGGATATTGGGGTAAAAACAAAAGGGGCCAGGATTGCTTTTAAAAAAAACACTTGAAATTCTTAGTCATCTATTAACCTTTTTGAAGCAGTTATTTCACAAAAAGAATCTTTAAAACTTAAGAGAGTTGTTAATCACAGTGAAATATCCGCAGCAGTCCTAAAATGTAAAATTATGCATATAAATGCAGAAGTGTGTTTCTGAGCAAGGGAAAGAGACCTGTCTGCACTAATACCTCACTGGACCCGTTTCTTGTCTGAAGTTCCTCTTCCATCCTTCTGTTTTGGAGATACCAGCAGGAAGTTGGGATGGCTGTAGCCGTCCCGTCCTCTTTCCCCTGGAGCAAAGGTTTAAACCCCTCCTGTGTCATACTAAATGTAAATACAATCTTTCAACCTCTTGCAAACTGGCTCGATCCTAGGCTTTTGTGTTTTGAGGACCTGATGTGGCAGAGATTGTTAAGCTGACCATCTGAAAACTCAACATCCATTCTCCTCAGTAACTGAATCCTGAATTTATCTGGGAAAGCCATGCACTCACATAAAAGATAAGTTTTTCTAGCCTTTCTTGCAGCTAGATATGACCTAGTGACCAGATGTTGACCAATGAGGTATAAGTGGAAGGTGAATTTTATATATATATATTTTATATATATATATATATTATATATATTTTATATATATATAAATATATATATTATATATATATATATTTATATATACACTTCCAGGAGGTCCTTAATAGAGAGGGAGTGAGATCTTCTGACCCTTTATCCTTTTTCCTGCATGGAAAGCAAATGCAATGACTGGAGCCCCAGTAGCCATTTTGGACCACAGAGTGATCTTGAGAAGGAAGCCAAGGTGATAGAAGGGGCATGGGTTACTGATACCATGGAACATTCCTGTGCTTGTACTGCCACCTCAAGACTTCCTTTACATAAGAGGTAAATAAGTCTCTATTTTTATAAGCCATTTACCACGTGTAGCTGGACCTAATCCCAACAGATACACTTGAGAAATTGCTGAAGGAATCACTGTGAAATATTAAGCATTTGCTGTACTAAATACAATAGCAAACACAATGCAATTAATAATGCCAGCAGTTCATCTTTTAAGGGCTCTGAGTGACCATGTATGTAGAAATGGCTTGCCACCACACAAACCCAGGATAATGTATATCTGTTAAGCATCTATAAGGTGGCAACTTTAAAGATGCTGGAAGGCTCAGAAATCACATTTTATGTTGTATAATTACCAAAATGCATTGATGACATTATAAATACTCCACAATATTGGAGTTTTCAGTTGTGAGGATGTAAAAAAATTTTTAAAGGATTTGTTCTTAACCAATAAGACACTATTTTATTGAATGCCTCTTGTGTACCAGGCACTGTGCTAAACATTTGCGTAATCTCATTTAATCTTTACAAGTACATACTATTATTATTCTCACTTAACAGAAAGGCAAGTAGAAGGGATAAATTACTTGCCAAAGGTGACATGGCAAAGCTGGAAATCAAACCAAGGTCAGTCCGATTTCAGAGCCTGTGTTATGAAACATCATACTAAAGCATCATCCATGTTTATATTTTTCTAGATACAGTCATGCGCTGTATAATGAGTTTTGGTCAATAACAGACCGCACATACAACAGTGGTCCCATGAGATTAGTACCATGTAGCCTAGGTGTGTAGGAAGCTGTACCATCTAGGTTTGTGTAAGTACACTCTATGATGTTTGCATAACGACAAAGTCACCTAATGACACATTTCTCAGAATATATCCCCGTCACTAAGCAATGCATGACTGTAGTCTTGACCATCCTCTAAATTCTCCAAAAGTGATGTCAGAATGACTGTCCTTGTTTTATATATTAGAAGGCTGAAACCCAGAGAGGGCTGTTCATCCTAAGGTGAGATCAGCCCAGTAGACACGGTGTCAAGAGTCTGAACTCCAGGGGCAGAGAGCCAAAGCCATTCTCGGGAAACCGACTTGGCCTCCTCCTCAACTGTCATCTAAGAGTCTAGCTCTTTAAATCGAAAGAAACGTCAAGGGTCACAGACACTCAGTCTGGGAGAATTAGAACCACCTTTGAGTTAAGACAGACAGACATATATACTGTTATATTTTAATCAGAATCAGACATTAAATGGCATAAAATACTCCACATATCGCTTTGCTGTTCCAAATCTCATGAACTTAAGACCCAAATATGACACAAGCAGTTTTACGAATTATTTTGACAGGCCTCCGCAAACCCAGAGGAGATTAAAAAGTAATAATGTAAAACAGTTAAGGTCAAGGGGTCAGTGTCACAGCTAATGACTAACCATTTGTTTACTGGTGGCTTCTGCTCCACCCTGAAAGCCGCTGAGCTTCACTCTGTCAAACAAGTGGTTAGTTATTAGTTCCCTGGGTGACTGTCCCTGAAGGTAAGCCATGCTCTTAGTGGGACACATTAGGCACTTTAAATGGGGGTAGTTACCTTTTCCAGGTTGGGCACAACGTTTGGCTCTCAAAAGCAAAATAAAGAATTTACAGTCAAACAGAATGTTCTGTGAGTCTGCGCCCTTGCGATTAAGCGCTGGGATTTCAGCACATTCTCCAGGTGGTACAGGTGCGCTGGGGGAGCTTTGCGGGTTGGTGAGCAGGCTGTTTGATTTCGGCATGTGCTGTGGACACCGGCACAATGGCCCACTCTGGCTTTTCTTCTGGTGTCCTGAGTGACAGCCCGTCTACACAGTGATGTTCTCCATATCTAACAGGTGGCATGGCACAGACGCTCCCAAGCATCCGAACAGAGGCTGGATGTAAACAACCATACGACTGCACCAGTGCAGGCTACAGAGTATCAGCGCTGCATCTAAGGAGCAACACTCCACGTGGCCACAGGACACTAGCTTATTTGCCTGTACAAATCCCCTCCCCTAATCCGCTTCATCCTCATCTTCTCCTGCAGTCGCAGCTTCTAAAGCCGCCAGGGCTTCCGCCACCGCCGCGTCCTCGTCTGCCATCTCCCCACTCCTGTCTCCAGTGGAGCCATGGGCATCCTCCCACCCGTTTCTCGAATCAACCACAGGCACGCCCTGAGCAGGATCCTCTTCTTTAAAGTACACACTTAGAACTTCTGTTGCCACGGCCTCGTTTAATGAATCCCAGCTTCTCTTCCTGGAGAAGGGCGTATTCAAACCATGCTCCCCACCGCTGGGGTGAATTCCCTCCAGGGGCTCCTCCGTGGTATGGCTCTTGAAAAGACAATCGTGTTTTCCATGATCAACGTTGTCTACAGCTGAGTCCCAAAGCTGAGGGTAATCCGGGGCTGGTAGCTGGAGGACATGGTCTTGTACTCCCAAGGCACCGTGTTCTGCCTGGGAAGGAGCTCTGGAGTCTCCGTTTTGGATGACTCTGGTCTCTTCTGAGGCTGGCAGCACACAGTCCTGTTCCCTGGTGCCCTCTTCTTCAAGGAAGGGTTGAGTCGGGTGAATGTTGTTCGAGGTACTGGCCCAGGAGCCCCTGTCACCCTGGTGGGGCCCAGGATCCCCAGTGGGCTGCAGAGCAGCGGCGAGGCCGATGCCATTGATGGCACTGCCAGTCTTCTCGGCACGGGGTCCCCCTCCCGTGTCCTCCTGAGGGAGCAGTCCCAGGTGAGGCCAGCAGGGCTCCTGCGGACCAGCCGCTCTGCTTCTGCTCGCGGTCCTCTTCAAGCCCTCACTCTGAAGGTCATTTCTCTGCACCAGGACTTCGTTGCTCTGCTTGCCTTTTAATTTAACAGTGTCATCTTCATCTGACTTGAAGCTGTTCACTTCGTTGACATAGCCAGGGGAGGACACTTGGACTGGATCAAAGAAATAGCTGGGGGTGAGAATAATGAAGACCAGTTAGGTTAATTATTAATTAACTTTATTAATAATGTTATTAGTAACTAAATTTCATTATTAATACTTTCCACTGCAGGCTCTGCTTCTTTCTACTATTTCTGTTAATTTCTGTGATCAGTTACTCTTTTAAGCCTATATGTGTGTCTAAATCAAATAGATCTAGGTGGTATAAAAATGTTCTACCACTGGAAATAGATCTTAAGAAGAGATCCAGGGGGCCGGCCCGGTGGCGCTAGCGGTTAAGTGGGCGCTCCACTGCGGCAGCCCGGGGTTTGCCTTTGCACCGCTTGTCAAGCCATGCTGTGGTGGCGTCCCATATAAAGTAGAGGAAGATGGGCACGGATGTGAGCCCAGGGCCAGTCTTCCTCAGCAAAAAGAGGAGGATTGGCAGATGTTAGCTCAGGGCTGATCTTACTCACAAAAAAAAAAAGAAGAAGAAGAGATCCAAAAGAGGGTGGGAAGAAGGTAAAGTACAAACTGGCTCATGGAATTTAAAAATTAAAAAAATATCCAATAACAGGGAAATAAGTGGTGAAGTACTGATGGTACACCCTCAGTGGAATATTATACAGTCATTAAAATGATAAATATGAAGTCTGGACTGGCATGAAAGATACTTATAACAAATATTTATTATAATGAATGTTTTTTGAATAAAGCCTAACATCACATTATGATTACAGTGGAGTAAAACGTGTGTGTGTGTGTGTGCGCGCATGCACGCACAAATCAATATAGGCATACAGATATGGAACAGAACTGGAATAATAAAGAGTTTTATTTGTTAAGGAAACAAAATCAGGTAATTTTTTCGCTTTATTTTATGTAGAATTCTATTCATGTTAACCCAATTTTTATGAAATAGAATCCGGACAAAATTAAAAATACATATGTGCCTGGGAGATTTCTTTTCAGTGACGCCATTCCAGGCATCCTCTGAAACCCAAGCTTTTCTTTGCGTTGAAGCTCTCTGGAGAAATGTAAATTCAACCCAAACCAAATTCAGTCTCAGAGCATGATCGTGTTCCCAATATGCCTTGAGCAGTGAGCCAAAAAAGTTAAAAAACCTAGGCCACATGTCCCCTTAAACGATATCAAAGCAGTTCCGGATGCTTAATTTCCTGGCAGCGCTGGTCACGCCCCACGCTGGATACAGGCACTGAATCCATGCAGGGTCTTTAAAAGTGCCCCAGGAATTCCTCCACCCGGATGAGGTGTTTTTCAACTTTACCTTTGTATCATTTTACAGCACCTGCACCCCATCTGGATTATTTTTTGTTACCATCTGCAAAAGAAAGTGTAGAAAGGAGAGAACACAGTGAATCATATTTTAACAGGAATTAGTTTGCTCTTTCTTTCTTAGATACTCAAAGTTAGTAGAGGCACAATTTTTGGCAAAAAGGAAACATGTGGGGCAGGGAGGGCACTGGTTACTGGAAACACCTTCATGCAGAGTTCAGAGTTCAATTCAGAGTTCTTGAACATTCATTGACACTTGTCTCTGTGCATGACCCTTTCCCCAACCCTGGGAGTTAGGTCTGTTGTCGCCATTTTGCAAATGAGGAAACACAGGCCGAAGAATGCCAGGGAGAGAAAGGCGGGACTGAGAAGGATCTGTGCGTTTTCTACTCCATTGCCTTCAACTGGGGACCCAGGAACCTAACCACGGTGCAGCCCAGTGGGCAGCAGCAGGAGGCGGAAGACAGGGGAGAGGAGTCCTTGCCAGGATTAGTTACTCAAGTATTAAAGGACGTCAGGATAAGGCAGCTGACCACGTGTTCCACGATACAGTCCCGCGGAGGCTACAGCCGGAGTCATCACAGCCAGCGCGACCTGGACTAAACTGCTCCTGTTTTGTCTTTCCCATCACTGGCCCGACCCCGGCTATGATCCATGGACTCGACTCTCTTGCAGCTCAAGGACACGCCCCTTTGGGCTCCCTGGTGGCAGATGGACTCAGCTCTGTGCTTCTCTCATTTTCCACCTGCCCACTGTCCCCTGCCTTTTCCCAAATTGCACTTTTTCTGATAATCTCCCTCTGAACAAAATCTTCTCTTCATGTCAAACTGACTACGTGGCTCTGGTCTTTCCTCTCAAAATCCTAAAAATTAGGAATCTTTAAGTAGTTCTCCATTTCTATCATCTACAACCTTTGAAAAGACAAGCTAACAATAGAATCTAAAGCTGCAGTCCCTTTGTCTCCATCAGACGTGTGCACTAGGGAGAGAGACATCAGTCACTGGCTGCCTCCCCTCTTCTCTTTCCCTCCTTCTTTGACTCATGGATGGATTCCCAGGATCCTGCTTTATAAGCCTTTACCTACAGAGAAAGTGCCTGTGCTTTTGGGAAGTATAGACTGGTTGGTTGCTTACAGGGCACGAGGTTTCCATGATAAATAAGATCTACAAATAACCCCTGTAGAGGGTTGAAAAATGCTCCCCCAAAAGACATCCATATCTTAATTTCCGGAATCTGTGAATGCTACGTCACATGGCAAAAAAAACCCCAAAAACTCTCTTCAGATGTGATTACAGATTTGAGATGGGGAGATATGCCTGGATTATCTGGTTCAGAGCCCAGCTCTGCCTCTTACTGGCTGTGTGACTTTGGGCCTCAGCTATATCATCTGTAAATGGGGATGATACATCTACCATATAGTGGTGTTCGGCATTATACGCGTTAACATTCCTGATAAGCTTATACTTACTACTCAGCCCTGTTTGGATATACAGCATGTTCCAAAAGAAATTTTAAACAGATGGAGCCTTGCACCTAAGAAAGATGTAATCTACTTGCCATGACATACGCATGCAAACAAGAGCATTAACAATACCAAGTACTATTTGTTTCTGGAATAAGGGCCAAACGGTCTATTTCTAGCAACTGTGGCACCAATCGAAAGACACAAACCCAAAGTGCAACAACAGTTCCACAGAGAGAGAAATCACTGGGGCTTAGCCAGGAATATGTGTGCACAATCTTGTCCTTCTTCAAAGCTTTGTCAATTAAAAGAGCCCATTTCCAAAGCCCAGGATTTTGTTCCCAGCCTCTGCTCCCCATTTATGTCCATTTTCTGGAAACAATTCTTATATCAGTTGGATAAATAGGATAGACAAAGAGAATCACGTGTGCCTCCTCCGCTCCATCAACTACCCCACCCCACCAATCCCGACCCCTCCTCCCCAACCTGCTCTAAAATCTTGCCCCTTTCCACACATGCAGCACCTCTGTTTATCTTGGACTCTGTTTAAAAAAACAATCAGCCAGGATGAGAGGTGGCAAAAAAAAAAAACGGCAAAGAAAAGGAAAAAAGAGCTTTGAAGTTTTCGAGAGGGCAGACTGTGGGTCATAATAATGTAATTGCAGCAATCATTGAAAAATATCAGGTAGGTCAACTTTAGGATGGTGAGTTCAAGAGTGCTAGGTGGGGAAGGTTTCCTTCTGAAAAGAAGAAAGAAAGCAGCATGTCTTGAGAGACACCTTGGGTTCCCAGAGTCTCAGAGGCTGCCCAAGGTTGACTTTGGGGAACTCTCGCCAGGCTGGAGCTGGAGAGTCTGTCCCCACCCTCTGCTGCTGTGGCTGTGTGCATTGAAATGAGAGGACTGCTGAGATTTAAGAGCCCAACTTGAGTACCACCACTTCCCTGTTTCTTATAGAACTTACATCTGTGGCTTTTGGGCTTCCCTCCTCCCCACCTCCAGGAAAACCACAGGATCTATATTTTTCTTCAAAGCCATGTAACTGTAAAGGATGTTTTGATGGTTCTCCTCTTTCAGGATCAATTTGGCTTCTCCCCTCACTGCCTCCCTTAGGGCACCACACCACGTAGGTTTCCCACAGACCTGGTCCTGTACCTGAGGGGCTTGCTTTGCGCCTCTCCTCAGCCCGCTGGAGATGACTCCTCCTGGTTAGGGGTTCTGCTCTCTCTCACCTCGCTCCGTGTTTTCCTTCCCCAGCGACATTCCTTCTCTCAATGAGACAGACTCTAACGTCCAAGGCTGTGTCACTGCTGACGAAAAGGGTGGGGACTAGTGTATTTACACCCAACCCCTGCCTGCCTGTATCTACAATTATTCTTCCTTATAGGATGGTTCCTGATATCAAATTAAGTTTATTTCTCTTTTTATATGTCACTCCACGTCCAGAACTTGTTTTTAGTGAGTTCTCTCATTTCCAGGTGCAAAAAGGAAATACTTCTTGTCCAGTGTGATACATGGAAAAGGGGGAAAAAATTCGTGCTCTTCTGAAGTAAGATTAAGCTCAAAATGGGCAGTCGGTCTGCTTTCTCTCCCCCTTGCCTTTGGACAACAGTTAGCTTAAAGGTGAGAATTCAGCTGTTAGGTGCCCTTTATTACTGAGCAGAATCAAAATTTGCTTTCTCTTTGGAGTATAAAACAGCAACAGAGACGCAAAGGGCAAATCCTTCACAACCATCACCTGGTTTACACAGGGGAAAAGCAAACACCATCAGGATGGCGTGTCCACCACTGCTGGCGCCCGTCCGCTCCTGGAGTCCTGTGTCAGGGGTTGATCCTGTCCTGCATTTTGTGTTGAGATTAAACAGTCCTATGTTTGAAGATGGACATGCTAATGTCCCATCAGTTACCAGTCAAGTCTCCTTGCTGGAAAATCCTGTTTCACAAGGGAGTAGTGATAGAGGTGGGGAGAAGTGGGGACACCAGGGAGAGCCAGGAGTTTTCTAACCAGGCAGAGAAACTGACTGAGTATTCATCAGGAAGTCAAGGGAATACAGAAAAAGGATCCACCCAGCTGGAAAGGGCTGCCTTTGGATAGTAATGGTCTTAAAGAATGACAAGGACAGGTCAAAAGGACATAGGAACCAGCTCGTAGGGGTTCTACCAGTCAAATCTGGAACAACTGGAGCAGCAAAATAAATACTACTGATATAAAGGATTATAATCCACTGAATAAAACAAGGATTTACGAATTCACACTGATATACAGTCACGCGCCACCTAACAATGTTTCGGTCAATGACGGACTCCATATATGATGGTGGTCCCGTAAGATTAGTACCATGTAGCCTAGGTGTGTAGTAGGCTATACCATCTAGGTTTATGTAAGTAAACTCGCTGATGTTTGCACAACGACGAAATCACTTAACAACACATTTCTCAGAACATATCTCCATTGTTAAGTGACACATGACCATAAATTTAAAAAAGGGAAAGCTCTGCCTTAGAGCTTTCAGCTAACAAACACACAAGGAATAATGGAACTAGAAAAATCACCATTTGACAACCATCCTAACAATAACTGATTCAAGCCAGAATCATCAACAGATGCTGAGACTAGTGGGTGAAAGTTTGAGGAGAATGGAATATTTAGTCTCAAAGTGACTCACCATCACATGCTTAAGGGTCAATTAGTGTCTTTACAGTGGAGAAACCTGGCACAAAGTGCCTGAACCAAATAATCAAAGGTAACATTGCCAGTAAGGAGACCAAGCAGCCACATGTGCCTTTGATGGGATGCGCTGAGAACTCAGAACCACTTCTGTGATTTTCCTGCCTAAAGAGCATAACCTGGACTGAAGCAGGAGACAACATCAGTCAAACGCAAAACGAGGGATATTCTGTAAAACAACCGGTTTGTACTAAAAAAAAAATGTACTATTATGAAAAAGAAAGAAAGAGTGAGGAACTATTCCAGATTAAAGGAGACTAAAGAGACATGACAACTGAATGCAATGCAGGATCTTTCTGCTAAAAGATCATTATTGACACAATGGGTGAAATCTGAATAAGGTCTGTAGATTAGGTAGTAGTACTAAGTCAACGTTAATTTCCTGATTTTGATTATTGTACAGTGGTTATATGAGAAAATGCCCTTGTTCTAAGGAAATAAACAGTGAAGTGTTAAGAGTAAGGGGCATGGTATCCGTAACTCATTAAAATGATTCAGAAAAAAGTTGTGTGTGTGTGTGGTCATGTAGAGGAAGAGAAGAATAAAGCCAATGTAAATGTTAACATTCAGGGACTGTGAGTAGAGGACATATGGGAATTTTTTGTACTTTTCTTGCAACTTTTCAGTAAGTCATATTGATATAATGTCAAAATTAAAAAGTAAAAGAAAAAAGTGGGAAATTAAAAAAAAGCACTAATCTAATGTCAGTTCTTGTTCTGCTTGTCCCTGGGCCAGGACCTAACACCCACAGGCAATCCCTGACATTAAGCTCTTCCCTATGGAGAAGCAGGTGGGGAAAGGTCTTGGGAAGGAGCTCACCAGAAGCCCACAGACCTTTTTGAATTTTGCTGTCATTCT